TTAAATATCATAACAAAGCTGTATCGGGCTTCGGAACCACAACCCCCCCCCCCTTCCCCTTTTTTTGTTCCTTCTGTTCCTTTCCCCCATTAACGTTGTTCCCTCCACCTCCCCTAATTCCCCTTTAATTTCTCCTCTTCTTCCTTTTCACGATTAATTTTCTTTTTCTTATGATGAAAATTTTATGCAACTTTTTAATTTTTCAGGGCTTGTGATTTTGATTGGTCTTAGTAGCTACAGATGAAAAAGTGATAATTATTAAAGGTGATTTTTGATGAGATCACTGGTAGATTTTTCCGGGGCAAATTGATTGTGCTTCTCTTAGTTGCAGATTTGGATGTTGGGGTTTTGGGAGTTAAATTCTATCAGAATTGCCATATATCTTATAAAACTCCCCAATTTCTTTCGCCCCCCACGATCCTAGCAGGTATAGCGAATAGGAATAGAAAGAAAAAAAATTTAAAATATTAAGAAATTGATATTTTTTTTATTGATTTGAAAGTTTTAGAACGAAGAAAGATGTAGTTCATAGTTGATTTGAGGGGATTTTAAAGTAGATGAGGATGATGTCGATGGTGGATGAAACATATGGTGATGGTGGGGTTGCCATGGTATAGAAGAAGATAAAGTTCTTTTTTTTTTAAATTTTAATAAATTGGTGAAAAATGACCGGGACCTGTAAATTACACTTGTCAAACAATAATAAGTTAAGAATATGACGTGTTAACTGTGTCATAGCGATTGAGGAACACGCTCAGCTGGAGGTATTTATTAGTACTCATCCGTCAAGTATAAGTATTCAAATGGGAAACTTCTAAGTTCATTTACCGGGTTGGCAATTTGGTACAAGTTTAGGTGGCCCAGAGGCTATTTTGCCTATTAAATAATTATATTTTATTATGTATCGTATCTTTTATATAATAATTCTACCTTGTACTCTATTTTTTTTTATTATTGTAAGTTTATTCTTCACATTGTTGATGCGTAATATCATGCAACAACATAAAATAATATAATTTATCCAAACGTTATATTCATCAAAACAATACAATATAATATAATATGATACATTATAAAATAATGCGTAACAACCCTCCAACAAGCTGTAATAAAGTTGTTTGCATTGTTGGCTAATATATGTCACTTTGGAGAAAAGGGGTGTGTGGAATAAACAGATTGAGTTTTTGGAAATTCCTTTTTCCATTTGTGATGGCATATATAGATAAAACGAACACTGTGATGTTTGGAGCATAACTGAGATGATTAATGGGTGGGCACTATTTAGACATCAACATAACATGCTCTATTTAATAATATTGTTGCCAATTATTTAATGTATAGAAAGTTTGCAGAGAGATACCTTACTTGTCGGTGCCTCTGCCAACAGTCTTGGAATAAATACAGGCCATTTTCACATTTATGTCACACCTCATCTTCACATCTGCAATCGATCTTATGATATTGGCATTATCTTTCCATTTCAATAATTATACATACTTGGCTCACAATCTTCTGTGGATGTCAGTATCTTGTCGGTCTCTGAACATTTGAATTTGACTAACATAATTTTTTTTTTGATGTCTAACTCTTTAGTTCGACCAACTTCAATCTTTAATTTGACTAGATCAAGTTAAACAATATTAAAAAGGAGTTAATTAGTTCGACATAAAGATTATATAACTATCCAATTTATGATTCAAAAAATATACAAAAGTTAAATACTACTACATCGTTCATCAAAGGTTTAGAACTATTTCACCAATGATAGAAAGCCGTTTGCTTGTTGTCAAACCCTTCGTTAGGGGTGTACAAAACCAAATCGGAAAACTGCATCAAATCAAAAAGTCAAACAAAACTGATTAAAAACCCGATTAGGTTTGGTATTAAGTAAAAAACCCAAACCAAACCGATATATAAATATATAATTTTTATATATATTTTTAAGACTTATTATAGAATTTTCTTTAAAAATTATTTAGAAATATTTGCGATTCTCTTATAGGATGTAATATTTAGTTAAATATGAAGTGCTCCATATTTATTAACTTTAAATAATGGGTTGTATGGTCACTTTCTTATCAAGTACTAGTAAAATATCTCAATATCTTTATTCTTCTATATTTATATGTCAAGATCTGTTAAATTCTTATATCTTTTCGAATTTGAAATGGTATTTCGATAATTTAAAATTAAATAGAACATATCATTACATAGGTTCATATTTATTTTTATGTTTAATTATTAAATTCGATTAATCTTGAAAGTTTACCTCAACGTAAAATTATTGTCAGACGATTAAAAAATAACTATCATATGTTACTAAAAGAATTCTTTCATAAAAATATTTTAATAAATCATATATTTACTTATCAAAAATTTAATAAAGGAAGATTGAAACAATATTCATATAACAAAAAACCCCGAAAAATCCGACAAAACCAAACCAATCCAAACTGATATAGTTGGTTTGGTTTAATTTTGATAAAAATCAAACCAACCCGGTACATATACACCCCTACCCTTCGCCTTTCCTTTGAATCAAAGTAGGTCGCGACAGTTGAATTTTAGTCTATCCGTGGAAAAATTATACATCTTTCTCCATATATTTTAACTGAAAAAGTGTCTTTGAGCTAGCAGTTAACAATATGTGACATAAAATAGAAATAGTTAGCTCACGCTTGATTTAATTTGCATTATGTAAATTAAAAGGCTATACTTGAAACATCAGCCAGACAAATTGAAACAAAAATTCTTTAAATAGTAATACCAATGTCATTATTCAATAATTATAAAAATCTTCGGTTCCACAAAGGAAAATGAAAAACTTAATGAGAAATAAAGAAAGAACGAAGAAAACTTAATAAAAAACTACACTGAGGAAAGAACACTTTGGATAGTTTTCATGTAAGCTTGATTAGTAGTACTATAACCTCCATCAATCACAAGATTAAGTCCACTAATAAACTTAGATTCATCACTAGCCAAATACAACGCCGCCTCCGCCACATCCTCCGCCGTCGGCACCACCCCTTTTAAATTCGCCGACGAGCAAATAATCCCATCAACCACACTCTTATCTGCTCCCATTGCTTTAACTAAAAGTGGTGTAGCCACAGCACAAGGAGAAACACAATTAACTCTAATCCCATATTGACCTAATTCAGCACATAAATTCTTTGTTAATCCCACTACTGCATGTTTTGAAACAGTATAAGAATGTGGTGATTCACCTGAATTAACAGAAGCTACACTTGAAGTAAAAAGAATGACACCCTTTTTAGCTGGGATCATAACCTTAGCAGCATATTTAGCTCCAAGAAATGATCCATAAACATTAACATCAAATACCTTTTTGAAATTTTCGTTGTCCGAATCGACTATATTGAAATCAAGATTTCCTGGAATTCCTGCGTTGTTGAACATGATGTCAAGTTTGCCATACTTGGAAATTGTTGTGTCAATGAGATTTTTAACGTCCGAGTCACTTGTTACATCACAATGGATGTATGTAACATCATTTGGATAGTTGAGATTATTGCAAAGGGATTGGCCTATATTGTCTTGAACATCTGCTATAACAACTTTTGCTCCATTTTGTAGGAAAAGTCTAACTGTACTTTCTCCAAAACCACTAGCTCCTCCAGTGATAATGGCTACTTTGCCTTCTAATCTGCATTTCAAGAATTTATTATCACATTATTGATTCATGTAGAAGGAAAAAAAGAAAAAACTATGTACGGTTAGAGCTAGAGCCCGAATTTTAACTTTACAGATTCTGAATTTTAGAACGACGGCTTCAATTGCTAATAACTGAGTTTTAAATTTGATATTTATATATATTTAATGAATTTCTTAATATAAATACATTATACGAGCAAAAACTATTGCCTTCGATCGAATCCGTATTCGAACTTCTAGCTCTCCGGCGTATATATATACACACACAAATAAAGGCAACATAACTAGAATTGAAAGAGGAAAGTATTAAAGAAATTAGCTTACCTTCTGCTTGTGGGAGCTAGAGGAGAGCATCCATTCATTTTGAACAGATTTCTTGGAAATAACGGAGGAAGTTCTAAGCCAATGAGATTTCAGTGTCCAAAAAAAAAAAGCAATTTATAGGGGAGCAAATGAGGTACCCTTTGACTTTTCAAACATGATAAATGGTACGTTATTATACTAGTATTCGGCCTTAGGGGTAAGTGAAGTTTTTGAGTTTTTCCGCTTTTAATTGATGTCAAAAATTATNATATATATATATATTAGTTATTATTGTAAGAGCGACAATGTCATTTATATATATACAAAAAGTAAATTTTTTTTAATTATTATTTTAAGAAGACAATGTCATTTTCCTAACAGTTTTCCAGCAGGTAATTGGGCACAAGCTTTGCTTCTAAAATGCCCGGGGCCGGCTGGATCCACTTTCCTTGATTAATTCGTTCAATGTACATTTACTTAAATAGTCTTTCATCAAATCACTTAGTTTATAAATAATATATATAATAATGCTTGTATAATATATTTATAATCATGTAATAATCGACGTATAATTAATTTATATATACGGTTTAGGAAAAATATAACAGTAAATATTACGTTAGTTATCTTTTAGTGCTCCAAGTGGTGAAGACGACCTTTAATTTACGTGTCCCGCTAGTCTATATAAGAAGTTATTTCTATTGTAAGTTTTTAGCAATATTCTAACATAGAGGTAAGATTATTGTTATTATTATTTTTTTTTTAACTTAGAGGTAAAATAGATATATATTAGATGGAATATCGACTTCTTTGAGTTCCTCGAAGCTCAGTGAAGTTGGTAACCATGTGAAGAATCAACTTTTTTTTTTTTTTTTTTTTTTTTTTTTTTCTAAAACAGGTTTGTGGTCTAATTGATTTTTGGCTGAAGTTTCACATAGATCGAACAGATTAAAAGAGTACAAATAAAGAAAAGACCACGGGATCCCTTAAACTTATATCTATATGATTCGAATAGTACAACAAATATTCGTAAGCTTCTTACTTGAAACCGTAGAAAAGGCTAAGAAGATGATGAAGACGAATAAAGACTCAATGTATTCATCAATTGTCAAATAATTAATAACCGTTGATTTTTCTCGTTAGATAGTACAGGAATATTGAGTAGAATTTTTTTTTTTTTTTTTTTTTTTTTTTTTTTTTTTTTTTTTGGTTGTTGTTGTTTTCCATCAAAATTTTGAAAATGAATATTTAAATACTCTTTGAAAGGCCCAAGCTATTGTTGCGAAAATTAGCAAACACAACCAACTGCATGTCCTTAAGAATTTTACCAAAAACTAGCAAGAGATGGAATACCATAAACAAAAAAATGTAAGTACCTAATAAAAATGTGATTGTGGTATCACTTTTTTTTAATTTTTATTTCCCCTTTATTTTGCTATGAAGACCGAGTCGGGTTGAAATGTGAGCTGGGGATCAGATTGAGTTGGCAAATTGTTGGTGAAGTTAATGCTGGAACTAATTTAAAAGATAACAAAACTTAAAAGCAATACAATTGCAGATCCAACTACTACCTAAGCGGGCAGCATGTCTCGCTCCCAGTAGATTGCAATTTGCCCATGTGCTGCTTGAAGACTAGTCCCAGTAGGCTGTAGTACTTTTCTCGTCGTCGATCAGAGGCACATCCAAGATTTAAACTCTATGAGTACAAACTTTAAGGTTTTTCGAGTCCGTTTGGAATAGCAGATTTGAAGTAACTGATAAGCATTAGGTGCTGAAAAATATTTTAAGTGATGAAATTGATTTAATAAATAAGCAGTTACATGTTTGGATACAAATGCTGAAATTGATAATAAACTCCTGCAGTATTTGATAAAAAAATGCTGATAATCTCTTTTTTCTGTTAAAATGACTTGAATAACCTTAGAACTGTTTACACTTATAAGTGCGTAATATCTTCAAAATTTTAGATTCCAGATTGATTCAACTACAAAATATTTTATTTATTATTTTATTTTAAATACAAATCTAATTAAATAAGATAATTTTTATGATTAATATAATTTATTTTATGATACGCATATAATAATAAGTTATAATAATTAATAAATTGACAAAAATTTCTCAGTAAAAAAATAAACCTATCACGACCTAAAATCCGACTAGTCGTGATGGCACCTAACCCAACCCGCTAGGTAAGCCAATTATCAACTATCCAATTCCAATGAATTTAGTAAGGCAATTAATTAAAAGAAAATATATGAAACCAATACATTTCCTCAAGAACTGGTAATACAAATCATGAGCTTCTAAGAATAGAGTTTACAAAGCGAAAATGAAGTAAATACATTATCTATTTGAAAAATATGTTAATAGTGTTTTATAGATCTAAGGCTACCATGAACAAGAGGCAGCTACAACCGGGATACAGGCACATCTTCAAATCTATCTCCCATCGAACACAACAACATCAACACAGTCAGTATCTGCACGCAAGGTGCAGAAGTGTAGTATGAGTACAACCGACCCCATGTACTCAATAAGTAACAAACCTAACCTTAGGGTGAAAGTAGTGACGAGCTAACAAAAAGGTCGGGTCTAATACCAATATTCCACAATAATTCATAACAACATAGTACAAGTAACAAAAGAGGTATCTAAAAAATAAAATGGCCAGTTCGTTCACAGTACCAGAAAAATAGGCATCTCTTTTCAAGTATCTCAGTGGAAACCCAAATCTCTTACCGAAAAAAAGCCAAAATACGAGTAAGCTTGAAAACTATGATTTTTCCCAAAAATCCTTTCAACAATAAGTAAGATGTTTTATTTTTCTTTCAGATAGCAAGTGTAAGATGTCTCTCTATGCCCATATGACAAAATGTATGAGAAGTCATAAATGACGTGATACTATACAGCATGAGGAAAAAAAATACATCTCTATGCCTGTATGTCAAGTGTGCATGCCAAATGCGATACAAATCAGTGATAAAGACCATATGCATACTCTTGTAGTATTAATCACTCATTCCTCACAGTCACTCGGCACTCAGCACTCACACTCAGTAGGTACCTGCGCTCATTAGGGGTGTGTAGACTCCGGAGGGGCTCCTAACCAAGCACTATAATCCGCACAGACAATTCACGTGCCATAATATCAATATCTGAAATTGTACGGATAACTTACGTGCTATATTAAGTCAATCTGACACGTTGCGGCGTGCAACCCGATCCCATAATCATTCGCACAATCAGGCCCTCGGCCTCACTCAGTCATCAATCTCTCCAGTCTCTCGGGCTCACAATGTCATGATACTAGCCCGAACACAATGATATTATGCATCAATAAATAACAATAGAGATTGAGATATGATATGCATGCGAATGCATATGACTGAGTGTGTAATGCAATGAAAGCAGATTACTCAACAACAGAAATGACCTCAGTGGGTCCCAACAGGATAAGCATGTAGCCTAGACATGGTTTCTAACATAATTACATCTCGATAACTCTAGTACGTAGAGATTTCATGATTTCAGACAAGTTCAGGTAACTACACAGGACCACAGAAATAACGGAAATCACGGTTCACACGGTGCACGCTCACACGTCCGTTCCCTAGCATGTGCGTCACCTCAACACCAATCACATAATACATATAGTCAGGGTTCCTACCCCCAGCTCCAAGATTAGAAGAGTTACTTACCTCGAACAAGCTAATTCCAATACCGGGCAAGCCAAGCGATGCTCCAAAATGCCATCCCGCGCATTTCGACCTCCAAACGACTCGAAACTAACCAAAAACAACTCAAATACATCAAACAATGCTAAAGGAACCAATCCCGATCGAAAAAGATCAAATCTTGAATCAAAAGCCCCAAAATTGGCCAAAACTCCAACCCGGGCCCGCACCTTAGAGCCCGACACAACTCAATAAATCCGATAACTCATTAAATTGCGAGTTCAACCATACTAGTTTCACTCAAATACGACTCCAATTCGATGTTCAAAACTCAAAAATTCATATTATGAAACTTTAGGCTAAAACCCCAATTTCCTCTTTAAAATTCACAATCCAATTATCAAAAATGAAGGTAGATTCGTGATATAAAATAAAAAATGAGTAGGGAACACTTACCCCAGTCCACAAGATGAAAATTGCTTCAAGAATAGTCTAAACCCTCGAAATAGAGTTCTTATAATCTGCCCAGACGTCCCTCTTTCGCGAACGCGAAAAACCCATCGCGTTCGCGATGAACAAAATATCCTGCCACCAAAATACTCTAAGCGTTCGCGGTACACCCCACGCGAACGCGATGACCACAGATGCCCCAGCTTTGCGAACGCGACTTACCTTTCGCGATCGCATTGAAGAATCCTCCAACTCCGAGCTGCCAAACCTCAACAGTACGCGGACGCGAAGAGCACCACACCAACCCACCGCGAATGCGACCAAGGAGGCACGAACGCGAAGAACAAACCACTGCATTGACCAAAATACTCATCGTGAATGCATTGTTCCATTCGCGATCGTGAAGCACAACTGAAACACCAGAAAACCAGCAATAAAAACATGGTCTAAAATAGTCCGAAACTCGTCTGAAGCTCACCCGATGCCCTTGGGACCGCGTCAAAATATACCAACATATCCCATAACATAACACATACCTACTTGAGGCCTCAAAATGCACATAACAACATCAAAACGATGAATCACACCTCAACTCGAAATCAATGAACTTGAAACTTCAAACTTCCACAACCGATGCCGAAATCTATCAAATCATGTCCGATTGACCTCAAATTTTGCACATAAGTCACATTCGACATTACGGACCTGCTCCAACTTTCGGAATCGGAATCTGAACCCGATATCAAAAGGTCCACTCCTGGTCAAACTTTCCAAAATTTCAACTTTCGCCATTTCGAGCCAAATTCAACCACAGACCTCCAAATCACAATTCGGACTCGCTCCTAAGTCCAAAATCACCTAATAGAACCCTAAAAATTCTAATCCGAGGTCAAATGCTAAAAAGTCAAACTTGGTCAATTCTTTCAAATTTAAAGCTCCCTAGTTGAGAATCATTCTTTCAAATCA